CAGTTGACAAATTCAACACCCTTTCATGATAAATACACTCAACAACTTAGGAATGGAAGAAAATTACTTCACAGGAGAATATTTGTATATGAAAAAAAACGTAGCTGACATCATTTTACTCAATAATGAAAGACTAAAATCTTCTCTAAGAGCAGGAACAAGGCAAAGACACCTGCGTTCGCCGTTTCTTTTCAACGCAGTATTGGAAGTTCTAGCCAGATCGAATAGGCAAGAAAAATAAATAGGAAGCTTGAACTGGAAAGGAAGAAATAATGCTCTCTGGTTACTGATAAGATCATAGATATGATTGGTTGTGGGGAGCAAGCTCCGCCTGATTGGCTGCCGGGTTCCAAGACTCGCCCTCGTTCCCCCCCCCCAGCGCCTGCCCGGTCCCTGGGGCCTGGTCGGTGCAGGACCTGCTTTGGGATTCGGGGCTCCCGGGCACGCGACTCCCGCATCAGTCAAAGTCGTCAGTGAGCTCGAGGAGACGTGGTCTGTTAGGAGGGCACCCCTTGAGCCCCTTGGTCCGGCCAAGGCCACTCTGATTCGTGGGTCAGGACTTGGTCTCTGCGTGGTCAGCCAGGAAATTGGAGCCTGTCATCGCATCAGTCACCTGCGCAGCCTGTCACCACATCAGTTACCTGATCAGCTTTCACACCTCAGTCACCAGGTCAGTCCAAAGGGCAGCCAGTGAACCATCAGTCTACCAGTAAGACAGTCAAGCAGTGTGCCCTTAACCACCAGGGTTAGTGCCCTTCTAAGGCAACGATTAACCCCCTTGTAAATCAGTTCATGAGGTGACCCACCCCTTCTGAGCCTGCCCGGTTAGTGGGTTAATCCGGCTCCCCCGAAGTCTCCCCCGAAGTCCCTGTCTAAAGCACTCAGTCATAGTCACAAGGGAATCCAGGGTGTAAATAGCTTACTTGTTTTCACTTAGTCATTTGTTTCCCTGTAAGATTTCTTCCATCACTGAGAAGTCAATTCTTAGGAAAGTTCTCAGGAAAGGCGTTCTCACCACTGACACTCTGTTAAAGAAATAGACATAGTGAAGTGTGCTGGGGACAAAGAATATCCTGAGTCCTTTTTGGAACAACACACCAAGGTAAAATTGACAGAAGTAGTAGTCAAAGAAAAAGATAAAGGGCTGCTTGAAGAGTCATCCACGTATACTCCAAAGCCTGGCAGAGAGAAGCCAGAGGAAACCAGAATGTTAGAGCCAGATTAATCGGCACATCTCCAGCAATAAAGCACATTCGTGTGACAGACGATGAAATTAAAAAAAAAAAAAAAAAAAACTAGAGAGAGGGAAATAGTTGACCAAAGTTATTCAGTGATTCGCTAGCAAAGCCTGGCCCCCAACCCCGTCACACAGGGCTCATTTCAACATCCAGTGTGTGGTTTTAAAAGCGAAAGGGGAAGGGAGGGAAAAACCCACAGCATGGAAGGAGGCGAGTGTTCAGCGTGCAGGAGAGATGCGCCTTTGAGGCCTCGGCAGCATCTCGTTAAGTGGGGGAAGGGGAGTGGTCGGGTTTTGACACCGGAGGAGGTGAGGCTTCGGAGGCAGAGCCCGCTCGGATGCATCCCACAAAGACAGGCAGGAGATACAGAAGAGAGAGGCGGAAGGTGGGATCCGGAACACAGGGGAGGAGATACAGGTGGTCTAGAGTGGGCTCCCACCAAAAACTCACAGGATCTAGGCAGGTGATTTAATAAGGAATAACATTTACTGAGCACTTACTATGTGTGAAGCTCTGTTCCGCTATCTCATTTAATCCTAACAGCAGCCGTAAAAGGTAGATGCTGTCATTGCAGATGTTTTAACCACGAGAAGCAGAGCGGGGAGAAGTGAGGTCCTTGCTGGCTATCGTAGAGTAACTCATGTGAACGCCCAGGCAGCTGGCTGAAATATTTTTTAAAGGAAAAAGCTGGGAGTTTAAATTTTTTCTAGAATATTTTGATATTGAGATAGTCTGCCAGGGGCAGGGATATAGTTCAGCGGCGCAGCGCCTGCTTGGCAAGTGCAAGGTTCTGAGTTTGATTCCTGGTACCAAAATTTAAAAATGGAAGAAAAGAATAAAAGTAGCCTGCCACGAAAGTTTAATTTAGAAAGGCAAGCAAAAGCTGTTTACGGGCCATATCCCACTGGGGTGCTACCAGTTTACAGCCTCTGAAACAGGACGACATTGAGGGGAGCGAGGTTACTCCGAATACCACAGGGAGAAAGACAGATTTCTACTTCAGCCGGAGGAAGAACCTGGATCCCTTTCCTGAGTCGAGTGTGTGTGTCACAGCGGATCATGGCAGAAAATATCTGTAACTCCCACCACCGTGTAGTTTACAGCGCTGCCCTCATGTTCTTTACCAGCCCTAGGAGGTGGTCAGGGTGAGCTGACCTAGGCCTGCACTTCATCTGTAAGAAAGTGAACTTGAAGAGGAGAATGATCTGACCCTGCTACACAGCAGTGTTCAATACAAAATGGAGCCCCGACAGGAACGCTACGTTCAGAGTCAAAACTTGAATCTGACATCTACCCACCTAATGGCAGCAGCCTTCAGAACAGACATTGGGCTTTTCTGGGTCTGTGTCTTTCTCTGTGGAGTGGAGCCAATGAGGTCTACCTCATGGGATTGCTGAGAGGATTGAGTGGGATAAAATGTCTGAGCCTCTAGTGTTATAAATGGTGGCAATAGTTCCTCTTTACATGTGAGTCATCCACGCCATGGGCCAGTCGCAGCAGCCTGGGTCGGTGATGTATAATAGCCAGATAGCAGATATAACCCAAGTGCCCATCAGTTGATGAATAGATAAAATGTGCTGTAACCATACAACAGAATATCCTCCAGTGATCAAAATGCAGTAAGTACCGATACAAGGTACAAAGACCCTTGAAAAGTGCCAAGTGCAAGAAGCCAGACGTGAAAGATCACGTTACTTCGTTTCATTTCTATATTCCCAGAATAGGCACACTTAGCGGTTATAGGAAGTAGATTGGTGGTTGCCTTGGGCTGGGGCTTGGGGTTGGGGATTAGAAGAACGGGAGAGAATGTGAACACATACGGGATTTTTGAAGGCATGATGCGAATGTTCTGGAATTAAACTACGGCCATGGGTATTTATCTTTGTGAATATACTAAACTATTCCTAATTGTACACTTTCAAATGATGGAGTTTACAGTGTATGAATTACATTTTAATAAAACGTTAATTATAAAAAATAGTTACCAACCAGATGGGTGGCCTTTAATCCCAACACTCTGTAAAGTTGAAACAGGAGGATGACGTCTTGGAGCCCAGCATAGGCAACTCAGCAACTGAGTGAAATCCTGCCTCAAAAGTAAATAGGAGCTGGGCGTGGTGGCGTGCATCTGTAATCCCAGCACTCAGGAGGCTGAGACAGGCGGACTATTGCAAGTTCAAGACCAGCCTGGGCTACAAAAGTGAGCTCAAGGGCAGCCTGAACTGCACGGTGAGAACTTGTCTCAAAAAAAAAAAAAAAAAAAAAAATGAGTAAAGAACAAAAAATAAAAAAGGGCTGGGGATGTATCTCAGTGTGAATCTTCCATGCCAGAAAAAAAAAAAGTAGCCACCTGCAGAACCACAACTAAATATATACTGAAAAATTCTAGGAAAAACTGGTTATCCACATGCAGAGGAGAGAAAACAGACATTTATCTCATACTGTGTACAAAAATCAATTCAAAGTGGATTAAAGACTTCAGTATAAGACCTGAAACTGTAAAGCTACCAAACATATGCACAGGCACACACAGGAAAAGCTTTTTGACCTTGATCTGGGCAAAGTTCTTTTTTGGGGATATGACCCTGAAAGTACAGGCATCAAAAGCAGAAGCAGACAAATAGGACTGCATCATACTACAAAGACTTCTGTAGAGCAAAGGGACCTGAAAAACTTGCATGGTAAGGGAGACAATCGGCAGAGTGAAGTGACAACCTATGTGATTGAAGAAGATATTTACGGACCATATATGTGATAAGGGGTTAATATCTAGACTGTGGAAGGAATTCAAACAACTCAGCAGCAAAAGCCCAAATAATCTGCCCTAAACTGGCAAAGGGATTGGGGATATGGCTCGGGGAGAGAGCGTTTGTCCAGCATGCACAGAGCTTGGGCTTAATCCCCAGCAATGAAAAACAAAATGAGCAAAGGACCTAAATGAGCATTTCTTGGAAAAGCACTGCAGTGAAAAAAAAAGTGCTCAGTGTCACTTTTCACCACAGAAACACAAACTCAAAACACAGTAAGATATTACCTCACACCTGTCTACGTAACAGCAAAAAAAAAAAAAAAAAAGGAACAGTTGTTAGTGAGAATATGGAAAGGAAGAAACCGGTGCTCTGCTGGTGGGAATGTAAATTAGTGCAGCCAGTATGGGAGAGTATGGGGCTTCTTTTAAAAACTTAAAAATAATCTGTATATGGTGGGGTACATCTGTAATCCCAGCACTCGGGAGGCTGAGGCAGGAGGATTGCTGCAAGTTTGAGACCAGCCTGGGCCACAAAGTGAGCTCAAGGCCAGCCTGAACTGCATAGCGAGAACTTGTCTCAAAAAAAAAAAAAAAAAAAAAAAAATATCCCCCCCCTTCGTACGCTTCCGAAAAAAAAAAAAAAAAAAGGAACAGTTGTTAGTGAGAATATGGAAAGGAAGAAACCGGTGCCCTGCTGGTGGGAATGTAAATTAGTGCAGCCAGTATGGGAGAGTATGGGGCTTCTTTTAAAAAATTAAAAATAATCTGTATATGGTGGCGTACATCTGTAATCCCAGCACTCGGGAGGCTGAGGCAGGAGGATTGCTGCAAGTTTGAGACCAGCCTGGGCCACAGAGTGAGCTCAAGGCCAGCTTGAACTGCATAGCTAAAACTTGTCTCAAAAAAAAAAAGACAAAAAAAATTAAACATACTCTGGGTGTACTGGCGCATGCTTATAATCCCAGCACTTAGGAGGCTGAAGCAGGAGGACCATAAATCCAAGGACAGCCTGGGGTACAGAGTGAGACCCTGTCTCAAACAAAACAAAAAATTTAAAAGTCAAACCACCATGTGATCCAGCAATCCTGCTTCTGCATGCGTATCCAACAGAACTGAAATGAGTAGCTTGAAGAGATATCTGCACTCCAATGTTGGTTACAGTAGTATTCAAAACAGCCAAGATGTGGACTTAGCCTCAGTGTCCATTGATGGAGGAGGGGATAGTACACGTGTGTGATACACACACAGAGAAGAACACTATTCAGCCTTCACAAAGGAAGCCCTGCCATTTGCAAGAGGATGCATAAAGCTGGAGGACTTTATGCTACGTGAAATAAGCCAGCCACAGAAAGACAAGGGCCACATGATCTCACTTATGTGTTAAATCTAAAGAAGTCAAGCATATGAAAGCACCGAGTACAATAGTACCTTCCTGTGGCTGAGGAGGGCAGTTGATGGGGGCATGTTGCTCAAAGTGTATAAAGTTTTAGTTAGGTGGGGTGAGTAAGCTGTGGAGATCTAACGCACACCCGGCTGACTGTGGATAATGATGTTGTACTACACAGTACTGGAAATTTTCCAGGACAGTAGATTGAAAGTGTGCTTACTACATACACACAGAGAAAAGTTACCATGGCTGGGCACAATGCACATGCCTAGAATGCCAGCTACTTGGTAGGCTGA